TGAATATATTCCGCTTCTTGCCAGTCAACTTGGAGTCCAGTTCTTTGACGAGCAGCTGAGCGATCTTTGCATGGGCTGGCTCGGAGACACTGTCTTCTCCATCCGAGAGGCTGCCACTGAGAACTTGAAGAAACTGACAGAGGTATTCGGCGTGGAGTGGTCAAAAGTTTCTATCATTCCCAAAGTGATGGCCATGGGTCAACACCCTAACTATCTTTACCGCATGACGACGTGCTTTGCCGTTTCTGTAAGTTTCCTCTCTTATCACATCGATCAATGCTAATTATCAGACTCTCACCCCCGTTGTCAACCTCGAAATTATTGAGAGCTCTCTCCTCCCTATCCTGGAACGCCTAGTTACGGATGAAATCCCTAACATCCGTTTCAATGTCGCCAAGTCTTACGCCGTTCTCATCGCCACATTGCGTCGTCTGCCGGCCGATAAGACCTTGGTTGAGGTGGAGAAGTCTGAAGAGCCTATCGCGCCATCACCCCAGAGCCTGGAATTGATTCAGTCAAGGGTTGTACCTAGCCTGGAGAAGTTGCAGGAGGATGACGATGTGGATGTCCGATACTTTGCTACGACTGCTGGTGGCAATCAGGATGAGATGCAGACCTCTCCTTAAACTATGCACTTGTTCGGCCAATACCCAACAAGACATCCTGTCAGGTTAGAGAATAGCCAAACGTCCTTTTCTTTCAGGCGTTTTTAATGTAGAGGTTTTACATACTGTTTAGCCAGGGTAGGTAGTCAAAAGCAAATTCGCAACTAACCACCTTTCGATGCATGTAACCCACTCACATGGTGTATCTACGGTATAGTGCCCGTAAAAAGAAGGGCCGCTCAGGTGGACCTCGGAAGTTCGCCCTGGGAGCACCTGGGCAATTGAGATTCATTTGTCAGCAAAAAGCAACCTTGGAACCCTGCCCGGGGTGCCAGGTGGCCCCGGGGCCCCCGAGGCAGGCACATACGTGGTTGGACTTCTTATTTTTCCACCGGCAGTATACATATCAAATAAACTTGTGATACCAATATCAACATTCTAAACATGCTTTTTTGAACCGCACCGCGTCTCACTGGCATGTCAATTGGCTTGTGACCCTACAGAAACCCTCATTTCTCATTTATATTATTATTCAGTCGCCATGTCGTGGCCATACCATTTCATTTCTCTTTCCGAAGACGACAAGCTGCATCGCAGGGAGCTACTTGATCTTCGGGGATATTACGCACAATTGTCAATTATTGTGGTCATCGTCGCCATCCGAATTTTTCGGTTTGCTACGAGATCAACCGCAAAGTGGGATGGGCTGGTTTCTGGAAAGATCCGACAGTATCTTGTCTGCGGGCTGTGGCTGCTATGGCTTATAGGCCTTTCGATATGGAACAGTGGTGATGGTATGTCTTGTCTCCCGGCGGGTTAGAAGCACGAGCTCACATGCTAGACTACCTCCATTTGACCAAAGCATTGGGCCGAGTTGGCCTATCCCAACTGCCACTGCAGGTTCTGATGTCTCCGGCATACATCTCTCGGCCCACAGCCTCATCTGTGCTATCTCTTCTGACTGGGATTCCTCAGCCAGTGTTGACGCCGTATCACCGTCTCTTAGGTCGGGTGGTTGTCTCTCTTCTACTGTCTCACGCCGCGTTGTATACGCTGTTCTTCGTGCAATCCAGCCATCCTGAATTTGGTATATTGCTCTTCAAGCGAGTCCAAGACTTAGACGTCCAATGTGGCCTAGTTGCGATATTCTCGGCAGTGCTACTCGTTCTCTTCGTGCGGCCTGCTTCCCAGAAGGGACTCCAGACTTGGCTTGTGCAGGGAACCGTTCAAGAACGCAGAAAGATGTTTTACTTCGGTCATGTGTCTTTGGTGATATTATTGTGTGTTATGGCTTACTCCCATGTGAAGCAGGCGCAAAAGTACATGCTGCAAACTTTGGCGGCTTCTGTGCTTAATTGGGTGTGCTGTTGGGCGGCACGTTAGTGTATGCTGGAGTAATATAACATGTCCGGTGGTTCTTTCGAAAGAAAGATCCGTTGGTCAGTATCTCAATGTTGAACTCTAGGGATGTCATAACGTATACACCTCATTTATCATCCATCCATCGAGTTACTTTGTGATATAACTATCTCGTTTTGTACTTGTTTAGATCTTGTTTTTGGAGAGGACGTGCGTATGAAACTGTACCCCTTTTTTCTCCCCCTTAATGATAGAAGTCAACAATAAACGAGTAGAGAATCAAGGGGTACGGACTATGTTGTATAGTTACATATATATAGTTTACGTACTATTAAACATGAGTGATTAGAGCTACTACTCCTTCGAGGGTTTCAACCATCTTTCTACCAACCAATATCTGAAGGATATTCTTGATATTCTGTAGAATGTTAAACCAATGTAGTCAAGCACTTTTGGTGACACGTATGTTGTATAGGATTAGATTATGGCGTACATCCCCTGCAACGCCACATACTAGGAGATTGGATAGATTGGCCCCCTTCAAGAATTGGGGACCACCCAATATAAAAATAGACCATATTATAATATGATTGATGGGCTTTGTCTTTTAAACCCTTGCAACAGTTAACTGCTCCCTACGGAGTAGAACTAACTATATTTAGTTAGATTGTGGCGATTACGTTAGAAAGGCTTGGCGGATAAGGCTAATAGCCCGAGGTCAACTCTAGACTTATGGAGAACCCTCCTTAAGACTTAGCTTCGCTCTCCTTCTTCATGCCTCTCTCCAATGGCAGCATGCGCATCCAACGGTTGATTGTTTTGCTTGCGATCAGTGTTCTTGCCTGTCTTTCTCTCCTACTATTACGATCCTCGACTCCCCCAGAGCAGCCCATAGATTTACCTCCTCCCGAACCGATACAACACCCTGAACTCCATGCGGGGCAAACCACATACCTCCCCGAGAAGGAACACCCGATCACGCGTCTGATTGAAAATGCTCAACAGCATTTCAACCATGCGCAGTCACGCCAATCAAAAACTCTGGCCGAGGCCGTGAGTGAATACCAGCGCCGCTACAATATGCACCCGCCGCCATTTTTCGACAAGTGGTTCGAGTTTGCCAAGTCAAGAAATGTACAGCTCATCGATGATTTCGACTCGATCTACCACAGCCTCCTTCCCTTCTGGGGTGTGAAACCTAAGACGATTCGCGACCGGGCGCGCGAGACACTTGGATATGACAATGCGGTGCTCGGTGTTCTGATTCGCAACGGGAAGGTGTCTCTAACGGATGGAGGGGGTGATGACCGCAAGTGGCAGCGAGACGCCACGGCCGGTATGATGCATGCTTTTGTGAAATACCTGCCCGACATGGACCTGGTGTTTAACACCCACGACGAGCCACGTGTGATCCTCCCTAACGAAGACCTCCAGCGCTTGGTGCAGAAAGCACAGGACTTCGTTATTCCAGCAGCGTTCAAGAAAACCCCAACCAATGCGTGGTCCCCACGTGCTTCGGACCTAAACAAAGGCGACCGCATTGACGGGGTGCGCACCACTCGTTTCAATCGATTCGCACACCAACCGACCTGGACAAACTCCCGAGGCTCTTGTCCGGTTGACAGCCCAGCGCGCTCACTAGACGAAAACCCTTCTGACGACGTTGATTCCTATGCGTGGGGCGAACTCGGCTTCATCTACAACACCACGGCGGCCTCTGACATCTGCAATACCCCCTCTCTCCGCCATACATACGGATTCTTTGACCGGCCCAACGCTTTCGATGTCGTCCACGATCTGTTCCCGATCTTCTCGCAAAGCAAGATCTCTAGCTTCCAGGACATTATTTACCCGAGTCCCTGGTACTGGGCTGACAAGGTCCCCTACGACACCGAGAAAGACTATCCGTGGGAGGCCAAGTCTGACCGAATGTACTGGCGTGGCTCCACAACCGGTGGATTTTCGCGCGCGGGTGGGTGGCGTCGACAGCATCGGCAGCAATTTGTCGACAACGTCAACGCCTTGGGCACCACCAAAGTTCTCGCTCACCGGGGAGACGGCTGGGTTTCACAGGTCGCCAACCGGGACGCGTATCGTGATTCCTTCGATGTCAAGTTCACACTTATCGGCCAGTGCGACCCGGATGATTGCAATGCGCAGACTGAATACTTTGGGGTGTTCAAGCAGGCCGGGCAACAAGATGCGTGGGCGCACAAGTTCCTAGTCGACATCGACGGCAACGCTTTTAGCGGGCGGTTCCACGCATTCTTGCATAGTAACAGCTTTGTCTACAAGATCGCTATCTTCCGCGAATGGCATGACGAGTGGCTGAAGCCCTGGGTACATTACGTCCCTCTCAGCTTAAAAGGCAACGAGTATGCTGAGAGCATGCGATACTTTACCTCGGAAGAGGAGGGCAAAAATGCAGCTTTTCAAATCGCCAAGCAGGGCCAGCGCTGGGCACAGCTGACCTTACGAAATGAAGACCTGGAGGTTTGGTTCTTCCGGCTACTTCTAGAGTAAGTACCTCGTCATTCTATAAGAGAATTCTGCTAACCTGCTCATTTTTCAGGTATGGACGCTTGGTAGACGACAACCGTGAACAATTAGGATTCGTTCTTTGACTCTGTATATATTCCTTCGACGAGATGATGGCTTTTTGTTGTTGTTTTTTTTTTGGCTCTTGTTAATACCCCGTTTCCCTTGGACCTGTTTCCTACCAATAATATTTGTGCATGTGAAGGTGGCGTTCGGTAAAAGCCATAGATTGAGAAAAGCTGTAAACTACCTACAATTTACAGCATAATATGATTGCATTCCTGAATCTGTATCTTGTTGGAAGTATACATATGTTATAACTATACCTCATATCTGCATGGAGGTACCCGTCCACCGGTCCACGGATCCATCAGCCCATCGCTGACTCAGGCGTGACGCTACACGTGGACCTAGTACCCGTGGATGGCCCGAGCTCAGTTTGCCTCTAGATTTATTCCAGACTCACTCCATTTCATTCCTTCAACACATGATTCCAATATGAGTAAATCCTTGTCCCATGCCTTGATCAGCACGGCCGTCTTTGCCTACGGCTTCCTTACGGTTTTTCTTTATGGCTTCATTGCCTTGGCGAAAGGCACATACTTCAAACGCCCAAATGAAAACGAGAAACGAGACCTACAGCTTGGTGAGCTATGTATTCACCATTATGAAGGTTCTTTGCTGATCCTCTAGCTCGCAATCGCCTGTGGGATTTATCTAAAGACTTCGAAGGTCTCTCTCACCACATTCTAACTTTGCAGAGCGGATTCAAGTTCCACTTTGTCAGTAACGATATCCCAAACACACCGGAAACCATCAATTCTGATAAACCATTGGTCATCTTCATCCATGGATTCCCCGATAGCTGGGCCGTCTGGCGACGCATTATCAGAAATCCTGCTCTGCAAAAGGCCGTTTCACTCGTTGCCATTGACCTTCCTGGATATGGAGGCACGGAGAGCCTAGAAAAATATACTGCAACAAACGTCTTGGAGAAATTGACAGAGCTGATTGTCACCCTGCGGACCCAGTATGGCGTGGACTCGGACAACGAAAGCAACAAGAAGAGAACCGTAATTGTCGCCCATGATTGGGGTTGTGTCTTGTCCATGCGCCTCGCCGCCGAAGCTCCGTCCCTAGCTCATCGGTTCATCTTGTCCAACGGACCATCAGTATGTCAGAACACCGGTGAATATGTCTATCTCAACTAACGATTCAGATGAAATTGGTTGAATCCAATATCCGCCGTCTGCTCTTCTCGGCCAATAAGATGCTCGGTAACGCCTGGCGTTCACCATTGAACGCTCGCGTCCCGCTGATGCAAGCACTCCGAACCCTCGCTCCTCTTGGCCGCCAGCTTTTTCTATCCGGCTACATCTTTTCCATGCAGCTACCAACGCCAATTGTCTGCTACTTCATGTCCGGAGGCAACCACTCACTGTTGAAAGGCTGCCACCTCACCTCGTACAACAAGGACGAATGTACTCCCCTCGGCGTGGCCAACAGCATGGCTAGCACCATGGGACCGTCCGCTGCAGAATCGGATACTAAAACTCCCAGCGGTGATTCTTATCATGCCAGCATCAGCGAACGCGCGTTCGCGCATGTCATCCACATGGCGGCTTATTACCGCGATCGGGCATCGGTGGCGCGTTGGGTCAAGTCTATTGAGACAGTCGCTAGCTTGCACAGCATTTCATCCGGAAAGCGGCTGACGAGCAGCGGAGCTGGGTTGTTTGATGAAGGCCCACCGGGCGCTCTCAAAGCCAGCACGACCATTTTCTGGGGCAAGGATGATATTGCACTTGACCAAAGGATCTGCCTTGATGGGATGGGTGATTACTTGGCGCAGGGGTCTCAGATTGTGCTACTTCCCCGTACTGGACATTGGACCCCAATTGAACGTGAGAGCGGCGCAGCTTTGATCAAGGCCGTTGAATGGGCTGCCCAAGGCGAAGAAGGGGATATTGGGACCATTCTCAGTGAATCCTACCCTGGTATCCAGGTCAATTTTTCACGGTAAGCATAGGCAATATGTTGGACAACTTTGATATTCAACGTTTTCGTATTGCGGGGGCAACCCGATCTAAAGCGGTTAGGGTGAAGGTGTTGTTTCACTTCCATGTTAGACCATAGATCACTTAGAGAAGATGGATTCAATGTATATGTTGTAGCAATAAAAGAAGAGAATATAGAATATAGAATATAGAATATAGAATATAGAATATAGAATATAGAATACTCATAAAGTGTTGAAGAATAATAGGAGAATTGTCTCTCCAGTGGGGGAGGATCGATGATTTACCCGGAAGGTGGGAAAAACCACTCCACTCTCCCCTCGGGAGCTTTGACCTTAATTTGCCTACGATCTCTCTCCTCTCTCGGCCTTTGCTTTCCAATTACTTTTTTTTAACTTGGCTTAATCTTATGACTCGCCACTTTCTCTCTCTTTCTTTCTTTCTCAATCTCAAAGAGTTCAACATTACACAACATGCAGTGAAGAAAAAATTTTCTCCTGTTTTCGTCTCCCCTCGAATCTGCGTCCGGTCCAGGTACCACAGTCGGTGTATCGCGTTACCGGTCTGAACTGTCATTGGCAATTGACAGGTTAAATATAGCCTGGTAGCTCTTCTTCTTTTGGGGACTTTTCTTCTTTACTCCAGAATTTGTCGGCTGTCTGATCATTCTTTTGCTGTTGGGACTGTGGTGTGATGGATTCCAATGGAGGAGCAGTCTACTGCACGGTACTTTAACATCCCCCCTCTTTCCCTATGCTTATGGCGTAAATTGACGATGAGACAGCTTCTGTTGAGTGACAATTATCTTCCTGGTATGTTCTCATTCATATGGAATGTGAAACTATTCTAAATCTTTATAGGTGCTATGGTCCTTGCCCATTCCCTACGCGACAATGGCACAAAAGCGAGGTTGGTGGCGCTATTTACGCCAGACACACTACAATCGACCACCATTGACGAGCTAAGGGTAAGTACAGCATTCCCCAAACTGTACATTTGGCTTACAATTTAGACTGTCTACGACGAGTTGATCCCAGTGAGCTCAATGGTAAACGACACGCCGGCGAATCTCTGGCTCATGGATCGCCCAGACCTAATTGCCACATTCACCAAGATCGAGCTCTGGCGCCTGACGCAATATCAGCGGGTCGTATACATTGATTGTGATGTCGTAGCTCTCCGAGCCCCCGACGAGCTATTATTACTGGAAGCAGACTTTGCTGCTGCGCCTGACGTTGGTTGGCCGGATTGCTTTAATAGTGGAATGATGGTCCTCCGACCTAATCTACAGGACTATTATGCCCTAAGGGCACTCGCCCAACGAGGTATCAGCTTCGATGGCGCTGACCAGGGTCTGCTAAACATGCATTTCCGGGACTGGCATAGGCTAAGCTTCACGTATAACTGCACGCCAAGTGCTAATTACCAGTACATTCCTGCGTACAAGCATTTTCAGAGTACCATCAGTCTTATTCATTTCATTGGTGCCCAGAAGCCGTGGAATATGCCGAGGCAGATTGTCCCGCTGGATTCCCCGTATAATCAGCTTCTAGGCCGGTGGTGGTCGGTCTATGATAGACACTATCGTCTGGCATTTGTGAGTGATATATGCTAGAGATCATGAAGACGTGGACTAACATTCCTAGGTACCCACCGCGCCAGTTGAGATTGAAAAGACGGCGGTTGCCCAAGGCGATCAAGTCCATACCTCTCGCTCTGACCACATCCCTCGTTCTGACACGCCTCGTTATGACACTCCTCGTTATGACACTCCTCGTTCTGACACTCCTCGTTATGACACTCCTAGTTATGACACTCCTCATTATGCCCATTTTGAAACACAGCCGACGTCCGAACGGCAGACCTACCATGTTGAAGAACCCACGAGCTTCCACGAGGAACCACACCAAGAGGAACCACACCAAGCACCGAAACCGCACCACGAACATTCTGCCCCCGCTGATGTACATCACGCTGCCGTGCCTATATTGAGTATGGTACCGCAATATGTCCGCGGAGAGGAGCATGTTTCAACCTTTATCCCACCATTTTCTCTTGCGCCAATCACTTTTGCGCCTCAACTGAGCCACGAAACATATGAGACACAGGTACAAACGCAGGCGCAGGCGCAGACGCAAAGCCAGACTCAGACTCAGACTCAGACCCAGACCCAGATACACTACCCCGACGGCCATATCCACCAACCACAGCCGCTGGCCCCGGTCCAGCCTCCAATTATCGAGTATCAATCACCTCCATCTCCGGTACCAGAGGTTTCGATCTTTGAGGCACCGAGATCCGAGTGGGATCCCTCACGGTGAGATCTTATCCTTCAGTATTATCTACAACGCTAATATCATATAGTGAGCCACCACCGGTCAACACGAAACCCGAAGGTTTTAGTTTACAACAGAAAACATACAATATGTCTGAAGACACGCATCTATTCCAACCCCCGTCGTCCTACCCCGAGGCACCGAAAAATATGTGGTTTGAGATTCCAGCCAAACCGGAGCCCAAACCTACCACTGTCTTCCCCTGGGAGAGCCATGCTCCAAAACCCACTCGTGTCTTCGCCGAGGAGGCACCTGTGAGGATCATGGAAACTCCCGTGATACCCGAGGAACCAGAACAACATTCACTCCCAAGCGAGCCAGCTCTTCCCGGGCCCTCATCTTCCTACACCCGGGTTCCGTTCGAACCCAGTGCCGAATCATGGCAAACATACACCCGCTCCAACGCCTGGGATGAGGACCCAGAGATCCAGCGGTACATCGAGACAATTCAGGCACGGCGCACAAAATCACAAGTGGCCAGTCCGGGAGCCCATTCTAACAGTCCCGAGAAATCACCCCCCACCCCAGGCTCCTGCCCCAGCACCAAGATCACCGACTTCCCAACAGAAGTTGAGCGCCCCAGTCTGCCCGTAACGCCGGCCCCAATCCACCGCACCAGTTATGGGGATGAGGCCTCCGGTACTGCCGCTCTCCCTGCTGCCGAGGGTGTGCCTAGCCAGGAGGAATGGGTGGGTGTCACGGTTGATGTGTTCTCTTCCCTCCTCGGCGCAACGTACTTATTGTGGCGATCTACAGAATCCCCTAGCTCAGCTCGAGGAGCTACATCGTCGGCATTCGGAGGTCTTGGAGCATCCCGAGCTGCTATTTAGTCGGCTTGCCGCTGCCTCATACCGTGACCGTTGACAGTGCTCATTCCTTTTCTTTAATTTCTTTTTGTCAACTTGGATAATCTGATGCGATTCGTTTTGATGGTTGAACCTGGTTAGGACATGTACTCCATTGTGCTTTTGCATATGCATATGTATGGAAATTTCTTGGATGATATCTTGTTATGAAATAATAATGGCGACACTGAACGGAGCAATGCATTCTTCCTACTCTTACAGTTCAGGTGGAAATGCACCCGCAAATGTACGGATCCTCGTAAGACTAGAAATATATATATCCAGGAGTATATGTAGGTATTCAGTCTGTTTTCGTTTCTTTCTCGCTGCACGCTTCTAGCCTACATGTTTATGCTACAGGGCAGAAGAGATACTAGTTACCCAACTACCACCACTTAGGAAATATATATGAAAGAAGTCCAACAGCTCTAAATTGGGTAGTTCCACCCAAGAGCCTGTCAATGGCTACACCCTAACTAGTTGAAATTCCCCAATCACATCGGATCTAAATATCCCCATACTACACAAAGTAGGACGCAAGCACATGGTAATCGAGTGACGCGCATGGGAACAGAGAATATATGTTGAGACTTTGATTCCAGTGTATGATGTCTGATACTCAATGGCAAGGGAAGCCTCTTCTTGTCAATATGTACCAGATCTCGAATCTTCCAACTGACCTTCGCCGTATTGGCCAATACAAATATAAAATAGCGAATAAAAGGCTTTGAAGGTCATGTAATTTTGATTGCGTGAGGTAGAGTATCAGGTTAGGTTAGGACAGATGGAAGAAAAAGGAAGATTCGGGCCTAATGTAGATAAAAACATTTACTCCTGAGCGAAAGTCTCCGCACCACCCTCTGCCTCTGCGGCCTGCTGCTCGGCAAGACGCTGCTGCTCGGCGGCCTGCTGAGCGGCAATAGCCTTGGCACCGTAGTCCTGGCTCATGGGCTGGAGAACGGGCTGCTCCTCCTTGGGCTCGATGATGGTGACCGAGTCGGGGAGAGTCTTCTGGGGGCCGGCCTTGCCCTCGGGGTCGGAGCCGCGCATGATCTTAACCTTGATACCGAGGACACCCTGGCGGAGGAGAACGTGACGAGTGGCGGAGTCAATGAACTCCTTGGCGGGCTGACCGGAGTGGATCATGAAACCGTCCTGTTACTTGTATTAGCCATAATATTCTTTCCCCAAAACTTTGGTTTTCGCGGATCGGTTTCGTCGGGTGCAATTTCCCCTGGGATAGAATAGACGTACGGTGAACTTCATAGACTTGGCACGGGCAGCACGGAGCTTTCCGGACACAACAACCTCGCAACCCTTGGCACCAGACTCCATAATGAAACGGAGGACACCGTAGCAGGCACGACGAACGGCAAGACCGTTAAGGAGCTTGTAGCGGAGGGACTCGCACTGAGCGACAGCGGAGAGACCGCGGTTCTGGACCTTGGCGGCGTAGAGGGAGACGGAGTTCTCGGGGAACTTGAAGCGCTTCTGGATGAGGGAGGTGAGCTCGCGGATGCGGCGACCCTGCTCACCGAGAACCTCCTGGGTGTGGGTGGCACGGACAACTGGAAAGCCCCGTTAGCATCAGATCCCCAATTCGTATTCCGTAGATCCCATCGCGATCGTTAAATCCTTCTCTTCCTCCTCTTTCCAGGCAATTTCAACCACCCATTTTTTTCAAGCGATCACACGAGGAATTGATTTTTTCGGGTTCGACGTACTGATGTCGGTGACAGTGGGAGTCACACGGACTTCCACACCGGAGTAGCCCTCCTCGGCCAGCTCGCGCTGGAAGAACTCGTTCAGCTCGGCATAGAAGACACCGTCGGCGACGAACTTTCTGCGCTTAGACATAGCTCCCTGAACAGCGGCCATTTTGACGTTCCTGGTGGTGGTGGAATCGGGGGTTGTCGACGGAGGGGATCGTGGTCGAGAGACTTCAATTCTGAGAGTGTATTATTTAGTGGGGATTTTTCGGGACTAGGGCTGCTTGCCCGTTTGGGCCAGGGCTCAACCCTCGCTTGCCGGCGCCTTTCCTGTTTGGTCCTAGTGTTGGCACCTTATCTTTGAGGCAAGATTAAGGCAATAAGGCAGTAACTTTTATTACATTCAACTACAAATCACTTTATTGGTCGCATGAACGCGGATGCGTGACATAAAATTGTAAATGCTTGGAAATCATGTCGGAGTCCCTTGATATTACCCCGGGTTCATTGCATCTCTACTTCTAACTCGGTCGGTTTGTCGGTGCGCTCCGCTGGGAATGCAAGCTTAGATACGCCCGACGTCACAGCAGCTGTTATCCCCGATACATCAGTCATTTTACCAGCACTGTTTGTCCCTGCAGTCTCAATACCAGTCAACACGGTACTTTCCGGAATGTCACTGGGTGCCGGTGAGGAACGGGGGCCGTTCATCTCTGCATCTGTTCGACCGAATACCTCATTCCACCACCGTGTTTCGCTGACCCGGGGGAAGATAAGTCGTTCTTTGCCGCGCTGATTGTCGTCGATGACAGGGTCATACCGAGGGTTTGTGAATTGTTCCCGGCGAGCAAGGAAGTAATCCCAAACGCTACGAGTTCGTTCATTGGCTTTGCAATCCACACGTTCTTTCTCGTTGTTGAACAAGAACGTGCCAAATTGACAGGAGTAGAGATGATAGAGAAGTCGTCGCAGGAAACGCTCATTAAACTCAAATCGTGTCGGATGTTGATGAAGCAGCTGATATGTTGCATCCAAGAACTGATGGAACACAGGGCTCGTCTCCTTTGGTTTGGTGATCTCTTTCTCGGACACCCCCGAGCGCGGTGCAGGAGGCTTCTTCACGGGAGTATCAGAGTCATAGTTTTGAAGCTCTCCATCCGAGTCTGCCAAAGAGTCACGGCTATTGTTGTCCCGACCAAAGAATCCCTTGGCACTAAGGAAAGCATTTTCAATAGCCTTCCCTGCGCCCCCACCGTCACCAAAGGCACGGTTGGGATCTCCGCCGATGCGTTCATTTTCGATCTGAAACCATTTCTCGCTGTTTAAATGACCAGCACGATGTCGGAACATGTGTCCAAATGAAAGCCAGTCTTTCTCTACCAGCACCATGAAGCCCTCCAGGGTCCGAAAGTAGGGATCCAAACAAATCTGGCTCAGCGCACTGAGCTGGCTCGTACGGTCCCAGCCATCAGAGCAGTGAATCAAAACATGAGAATGAGTAAGACCAACTTGACGAGTGATCAGCCTGGCTCCATCCAAGATCCCGCCAATGTGCTTCAACCAGCCGCTGCGCGCTAGCTGGTCACGGCTTGGCCCTAATGGAGTAACATCTGACTCCTTCAAAGCGTCAATCACCTTGTTAAGCGAGTCTCTCATGACATGGATATTGTCAATACCAAGATATGCCTTGGTAGCGAATTTGTAGTTGTCCATGTTCTCTGATCCAAGTCCAACAGCCTGCATGGCAAATGCATTCACTGTAGGGCGTGCGTCTACAATCAAATTTGACTGCTGGGCGCCATATATTGAGCGATCGTCTTCAGGATCGCCTCTTGCAGCGGCTAGCAAGTCGTCCTCAAGTTCCTCAGCATTGTTTAATTCAGGGACCATCACCTGGCTCGCCTCTGGACTGCTAGAATCTGTTTCTTTCTCTGTGGCTGAGAAACTTGCCAATGGACGCTCGGAGCGAGAAGTCAAGAAGATCGTAGACAGAAGCTTTTCGTCTTGAATGCTTCGGTTCTGACGGACACCGACTAGAGGCTGTGAGCTTCTGGTGATGGTGCAATTATTGACAGGGTGAAAGTATGTGAGGGCTGGAATTCTCGCTCGAGATCGATAGCGCCCTGCGTAATTAAGTGTATTGTCGGAAATGGAAAAAGGTACGGGGATGAGGGCAGGATAGGTTGGGGAGAACTAAGTTGAGTTAGTAGAGGACATTTGGATTGGCTTGTGAGCATGCCTCATAGTTCACGTTGATCTCCGAAAGACGCCATGCTTTTCCTTCGTCCAAGCAACCCTGGCGTGCCCATTCCTTGCGTGGGTCATACAACTCCCACCCATTAAGCTCCTTTTCTGGCGGAGGAGGCTGATAAGTAAAGGCGTAAAGCTTATCGATACGACTAGACTTGCACGTCCACTGCTTGATACTTTCAAACACTTCTCGTGCTTTGTGCTCATTTATAAAGTAGAAACAGACGAACGTGAAGTCTCGGCATCGGAGGCGGATAGAAGAGAGCTGGCGGGAGGCGGCGGGAGCTGGCCGCAGAGTGCAGAAAGCGATGATAGGGTACGTGATCCATAGTTCTCTAGGCCTTGTTATCACGCCCTTTGTGTGGTCCTTTGGGGAGATTGGTGGGGTGTGCGAAAAGATGAGGTGGTGAGGGGTTAGATGGAGAGTGCCATCGACCTGCTCTCCGCGGCGAGCCAAGGTCACATTGTCAACCTGGAGCGACATGATCAGTGAGTGGGTGTTTGTAGCGCTCAATATGGGTTCTCCAAACCTTAGCGATCCGTGTTTTCTCCATGCCGTGTAAATCACTGGCGCGTGGCCTTCATGCTGAATATGCTGGGTGAGGGGAATGGTGGGAACAGTAGAATCGGAGGAGACAACAGAGATCACAAGTGAGATGGATCAAATATAGGTACATATATTTTTTTATTGTGAGCCTGTAATCAATCAAGTGACTAAAATCAGTCTTAAGCACGTGCCTGGACAGTCTTGAAGGTATGAGGCTCGCGAAATAGTTGAGATGAGAGGTGTTACACGTCACGGGCCTTGCTCGGCTGTGGGGCCCAAGGTCACGCCGACGACCTACAACTATTATATGTTGTTTATATGTTGTCTATATTTTTGTTACACGCGAGAATATAATGGTTTAAAATGAGACACCTTGGTTTATGGTTTAAAATTTCTCTAAAAATAACTCGGAGATACACAGGGTAGGTTAACTGAACACTTAAAAGGGTAGAGTATGAATATAATGACCTTCCAAGGTTATTATGTTAGACGAAGATCAATGAGGTACACTAT